TATTTATTTATTTATTTTTTATTTTTTTTTTGTTATTATTAATTTATTTACTTTTTTTTCTTTTTTTTTTACATTTAATATTCAGACAATATTATAGATCTGACTGCACTGACACTATCAGATGAGAACAATAACCTGAGCTGGAAATCAATTGGAGGCGGTCTTTTTTATGGCCGTAAATGATTAATGGGCTGCTAATGTTACAGTGCCTGAGGCTGATTGCTCTGGCCACTACGAAATTATGACTGTGTCGTTTCGACCTTATTATTTACTGCGTGAGTTCACTCAAGTGACAGTAATTCTTGCCTATGTTCCTGGCCCTGATAACACTCTTGCAGCTGAACGTATTGCGGACAGATATAATAATGCTGTATCAAGAGCAGCTGATCAACCTATCTTTTTGCTTGGAGACTTTAACAGTTGTGATGTCGGACCCTTGCTTCCACGGATAGAGCAATATGTCACTATTCCAACTCGTCTGGACAAAATGCTGGACTTGTGTTTTGTAAACGTTCCTGGTGCTCATGTCCCTCCTCTTGGCTTCTCAGACCATAATGTAGTTCTGTTGTTGCCAAAATACAGACAAAGACTGAAAACACACAAGACTCAATCAAAAATTATCCAGGTCTGGAACAATGACTCTGTGGAGATGCTTTTGAGCTTACCGATTGGGGGATGCTTTTTCAGAGCAATGATGGCGATTTGGATATGATTAATAATTCCATCTGTTCATGTATGTCTTTTTGTGCTGATAATGTGATACCAACTAAGAAAGTTAATCTTTACCCAAAAGAAAACAAAAGTCTATTTTTAGTGCCATAAACATTTTTTTAAATTCTTTTCTTGTGAAATATGATATGACCTGGACATGAATCTGATTCAGAGAGTGATATTTTAGTACTACTACTGATTTACTATTATAGATTTTGTTTATATTTTGAATTAGAATTTTGTTAGATTGATGTATTTCTTTTCTATTTTCATTTTAATTTCAGTTTAATTTCTATTGCTGGACTTGTGTTTTGGTAATGTCCTGGTGCTTATGTCTCTAAATCCCTCCCTCCTCTTGGCTTCTCAGACCATAATGTAGTTCTGTTGTTGCCAAAATACAGACAAAGACTGAAAACACACAAGACTCAATCAAAAATGATCCAGATCTGGAACAATGACTCTGTGGAGATGCTTTTGAGCTTACCGATTGGGGGATGCTTTTTCAGAGCAATGATGGCGATTTGGATATGATTAATAATTCCATCTGTTCATGTATGTCTTTTTGTGCTGATAATGTGATACCAACTAAGAAAGTTAATCTTTACCCAAACAACAAACCTTGGGTCTCTAAAGACATGAAGCATTGTATTAACCTCAAAAAGATTGCCTTTATGGAGGGTGATAAAATAAAGCAATAATCCCCATGAAGCCGTGGTTTACAGTGAATTTATAACAGCTAAGAGGCGTTGTTAGGTTCGATGCAAAGCGGAGTCTAAAATCCCCTTAACTGTTATAAATTCACTGTAAACCACGGCTTCACAGGGCTTATTGCTTTTATAAAACGGTTATTCCATATAAGTAGCAAGGTTTCACAAAATAAAACAGAGCAAATAAAGTGTAATGATATTAATAAAAACAGTATTCTTCCACCAAACAATGTAGCTCCTCAGAAACAGTTGTGGTTGCAACAAAGTGGTTGCCGAGCAACACACAAATGTAAACAAAGGTGTATGTTACTTTGTAGAGTCATTTACAACAGCTTCGAACGCGGCTCAGCCAATCAGAATCAAGCACCGGAACTCTCCGTTTTATAAGACATGATAATGAACTGAGAAAGGAACGGCGAGATAAAACCAGGTTGGCCAAACTTCGATATAAAGACAAGATTTAGGAGCGGTTTATTAAAGGAAATACGAAGGCAGCATGGCAGAATCTTAATATGATGATGGGAAGAGCCCAGGCTTCAACTCAAGTTCAGTGTCCAAACCCTGCCTCCTTCTTTGAGCCGCTGAATGCTTTTTATGCTAGGTTTAATATGAATAATTCTGGAGTGGATTGGGACCAGACTGACTTAAGTAATGCCAGCTTAACTCTCTTGGATACAGTGACTAGAAACTTAGACCTTTCGAATTCACTTGTCAGGATTTTATTTATGGATTTCACATCTGCATTGGTTTATGACTGGAACGTCTCCAGAAACTACAAGTAAATACAACTCTTGTGCTATGGATTAAGGACTTTTTGAAAGATATATCTCAACATGTCAGGCTGAGTGGTTTTAAATCTAACAGTATTATTGTGAATACGGGGGTTCCACAGGGCTATGTGTTATCACCTATTTTATTTTCTATATATACAGTACGAACGAAATCAAGTGTGATATCGATGGCATGTCACTTTTGAAATATGCTGATGACATGGCCTTGGTGGCTTGCATGAGAGATGAGCAATCCCTGGTTACATATAGGCAATTTGTTGATTCTATGGTCCTCTGGTTCCAAGAAAGTTCGCTGGAGTTAAATCTAAGTGAGACTAAGGAGCTGTGTTGTGGAAGGTTATTTGGGCACTGAGATTGACAGGCATTTATATTTTACACAGCAGGCAAATAGTGTCTATAAGAAAGCTCAACAGCGATTATCTCTTTTGAGAAGTCTAAAGGGCTTTAATGTAAGACGGGACATCTTAACAGCAGTGTATCGGTCACTTGTGGAATCAGTTATAACCTTTAACATTGTTTCTTGGTTTAACTTTCGTTCAGCTGAAAACAAGAAAAAATTATCAAGAGTAATCAGACAGGCATCTAAAATGATTGGGTGCCCACAGACTAAACTTTTAGATCCCTATAACTGTGCTGTAAAAATGACATTTTTCAGAGACTCCCATCAGGTTGTCGGTAGAAAAGAAGACTTATAGTAATTATTTTATTCCTACTGCTATTTCTATTCTGAATAAGGCCAAACAGTTTTGTCAGGATCTTGTGTCTTAATATTATTGTTGTGTATTATTATTGTGTATTGTGTACATGTGAGCCTTTTTACCTAAGACACGTTTCTATCACTGGATGATAGATAAAGTTTTTTGAATTTGAATGTGAAACTGAGTTTGTTTCATAATTGATTAATTTTGCAACATTAACACGTTATTTTACTTTAGGCCTATATTAATGTTCAACGTTGGAAATTCTGCTGATTAAAAAAAAATATTGTAAAAGATATTTTTGAGCAGAGACGATATGCATTGCAAATGAAGATAGGGAATATGAAGACCTATATACATAGAGGTATAAGATTCTTAAAAATGAGAATGAAGGTTTCAGTTTCAGAGCAGCTCGTTTCGTGTCTGTGCATGCGCGGAGGGAGGGAGGGT